TGGGCCCGAGCAAAGAAGAAAAGTTGAAAGGCAAAAAGTTGAAGTTGCGAAAGGCTTGCTAGGAATTGCTAAAAAAATAATGAATTTTTCATGCTTGTATTGACCTTTCCCCCTTTGCTTGCAGACAACCTTAGTCGAAATAGCTGTATATTGAACACCGATATTGATAAAGTAAGTCCCTAAGGCAATTCCAGCTTTTAGTTTATGCGTGCAGGGGGGGGGGTCGGTTGGAAAGTAAAATATCACATTGCCAATTGAAAACACATAAAGAAAAATGTAAACATGAATCTATAATCAGGACTTGTTTTGGTATCGAATGGTCGCTGTCACAAAGTACAATCCTGATTTCGGTAACGTTGAATGCTGCTACCGTCCAAGGGTCAAGTGAAATTTCCTTCAGATGTCTTGCAAATTCATGATCAAACGTTTCCATTTCCGCGTCCGGGGGCAAAGGAGCAAGGCTTTCTGACAAAGCCGAAGGGCCACTTCGTTGTCATACAAGAACATGATGTGTGATACTGGATGTCGTTTCGTGGCTTCTCGCCGGAAGATTTTCAGTCAGAACAGCTCCTGTATATAGCAATTTGTATCCGCAAAGAAACAAAACAGTTTTTACTAGACTAATAATCCATCAATATGAATGTTTAATTTATATGCCGCTAATATTCAATGAATTTGAAACAAAGACTGACAATTATATTAAGCATATCATGCACAATAAAAATCACTCGTACTTATGATCAACAATGAACTCTGCTTTAAAGTGGAGTTGACACAAAAACAGATTATTAACATCTATTCTTTTCTTTAAATCTGGGGTCCATTCTTGCATTTGTACAACCACACAAAGCCATTCTTTACAGGCAGCTTCCTTCTTAGTTTTCGTTTCGTCTCCATCAGCCTTCTCAGTAGAGCGTATTTTAAACAAAGACAGATCGCTCGTTCAGCTAGTCGAATGGCCAAAAAGTGTGCAGTTAGAACCTGTCATAGTCTAGCTACAGAATAAACTCTGAAATTCACTGAAAAAAGCAGCTTGCTTGAAGATTTTGATGTAGCAGTAACTCCTGTGTCATATTACACTCAAAAGATTGTTTATCACTCACCCCCTTATGTCATCACATGACTTCAATTAAAGAGAACAATAACATATTTTGGGGGGTATCTGGCTAGCCAAACCATCTTATTATATGAACTGTGATTCAAGGTTACCCACTCCTGGTCCAGCCTTGTACCCAGGGCCTGCAGCGGGCAAGGCCCTGGTAAATGCTGGTCATGTGAATCTGGGAGTATTTCTGTATATCATTAAAACTCCCATTGGCAGTCAGGGGGAGTGAATGCTAAAAATCCTGATTTTCTAGAATATGGTTATCCCCGAGCCAATGGTGCAAAGCGCCGTTCCGGGCGTAAGCCCGGGGCGAGGGTACTAATCCCCCCCCGGCTATTTACACCCGGGGAAACAAAAGCATTAGTGGAGTCTAAAGTTCATCAAATATCGCGGGTGTGGGTCACCAACGATGGGTGGTCATCCTCACTGATCTCAAAAATATGGCGGACTGTCATGAACAGAGAACACTGATTGGTCCAATTTAAAGTTTGCATTATAACGACTGCATGACGATAGTGAAATAGAAAAAACATTTCTTGCAAATATATTTCATTTTTGCTCGCATTTTTGCAAGATTTTGTAAATTTCAAAAGTTCTCTCATAAAGAAAGGGCGAAAGAATCGGCTAAAAGAAGGGAGCCGGCGTTAACGAAGGTAAGTTTGTTTTAAATATTGATTTTATAATGGGATGTAAAACCCGACAGCCTTTGCGTATGTGAAATAACTAAACAAGACAGCATATAATTTCAGTGTATCTTTAATATTGATTCCCTTTTATATTATATCGAATTTTTTAAATAAAAAAGAAAGCAAAGTTATTTGCAATCGAGAATTTGAAATCATTTTATTGCAAACTCAAAGTTTATTGATAAAGCCATTTAATTAAAGGCAGTTTAGTTTTATAAAGAACACTTTAAATTAAAACGTTTTGCGAAGCGTTTGTGGTTGAATTTTACCTTAAATTGAAGCTTATATTACGTATAATAACATACCTAACATATATGTTGAGAAATTGATCATTTTGTAATTAAAATGATATTTTTAAGCAATTTTTCATTTGTAAGCATATTCTTAAAAAATTATCGTGTTACCATGACAACTACTTTAGATACTTCATGTTTGGAAAATACAATGGTTTTGTCAGCAAGGTGAGGGTTTCTGCATGCATGTATTTTCTAGTAGAGTTTATAATATGTTTCTTGTACTATTTGTGATGATATTTGTGAAAGCAGAACTTAGGCCCAGAAGAACCAAGAGAGTGACACGTTGACTGTTCATGCTTAACAAAATATCATTGAGTACTTTGAGTAACAGTCTCTGTGGGGTGATACCACCAGTAAGCAGATTCAAAACTGGATAAACGCCACATCGAAGAATATGATTGTGCATTTGATTATATACTGCTCGTTCAATAAGCTTTGAAATATATGCTAAATTACTGATGGGACGAAGATTTTCAAAAGCGGACTCCAACCCAGACTTTTTTAATATAGGAAGAATGATAGCTTCCTTCCAGTCTCTAGGAAAGTACCCAGTTTCAAGTGAAATATTAATTATTGTTGTAATCACAGGAAGTAACACATTCAGACATTTCGCCAAGAAATCTGTTGGCACTGGATCAAGGTAACAGGATTTTTTTGTGGAGTCCACAACAAGCTTTCCAACATCATCCTCAGACAAGAGCTCAAACACAGCAAAATGCGATACATCACCCGGATACTCCTCGTTGTCATCACTTGGAGGATCTATGTGACCATCATTATTTGAAGAAATCTCATTGTTTATCTCAGAGTGGATATTGTAAGAGTTTATAACCAGGTGGGGTAGCCTTAATTTCTTTTTTGCAGCAGTGTCAATTGGTGTAAACCATGTCTCAGTAACAGCAAGAACAGCAGGTTTACAATCGAGAGGCCACCGCGTAGTAATTCGGGTTGGAATACTTCGAAAGTTTGTTTTATCATATATCTTATCAATCAGGTCCCCAACCAGAGCAGTCAAATTATGTTTAGGGACTATGTTTACAGGAGGCCACCAAGTAGTAATTCAGGTTGAAATACTTTGAAAATTTGTTTTATCACATATCTCGTCATTTTGTTTACGAACATCTAATGGTATTGCATCTTGTTTTGATGAGCCTTAACAGGAATTCAGTATTATGCAAGACTGATTGGAACGGCTATTTTCTGTAGCTCTGTCTAATATTACAATGGGTGGCATGTTCTCTGGGGAAAACTCAACAACATTAGCATTGTTAATTTGGTTGTTTACAGTTAAATCTATTGTACTAGTGGCTTTGTATAATATTTCGATGGGTGGCATGTTGTCCGGTGAAGAGTCAACAACATTAACATCATTAATTTGATTGTTTACGGTTAAATATATTGCACTAGTGGCTTTTTCCCGCATAGAGTGGCCCATGTCAGCCGTATTACTGCGGATTCAGGTAGACCGTGAAATGCGAATAGTTGTCACGTTCGTTGTAACGGTTGCACGATGACGTTTCTAGGCAGATTTTCAGACGTTTCTAGGGTGTGGCTTCAACGTTTTGTTAAAAAGTAAACATGTTTTAACATTTCTGTCATTCTATTTTAGTTGCTTTTGTCAACATGTCTTTTGTTCAAATAAAAATAGAATATGATTTATCCTGTTCGAACAAACGTATAACACCAATCTGTTTAAACGAAGATATAATTTTCATGAAATATAATGATTTTTAAGCCAGGATTTTGAATAACGTTCCACATTTTCACGATCAAAAGTGGAATTACAACGTTTAAATTTTGAAAATAAATGTTGAAGCCACACCTTAGAAACGTCTGAAAATCTGCCGAGAAACGTCATTGTGCAACTGTTAAAAGTAACACGACAACTATTCACATTTCACGGTCTACCTGAATCCGCAGTAGAATATTCAAATGCCGGGGAAGATCGATCCCTGTGTTGATTGTTTAAGAAATATGTCTCTGCCTTACGATAATTATCAAGTTGTTGACTAAGTTTGTTGTTACAAATGTCCCTCTCAGCAATTGTTATGTCCAGTTGTTAGCCATCTATTTCAACAGACAGCTCACTTGTTGTACAATGGTAAACGCTACTAAATAATGACTAGTCTGTTTGAAAACCATACAGAAAGTTTCAAATTTCACTACCACTACCTATCACTGGCAAGCTGCATCTGATAGCAGTAGTGGAAGTCAAATCTGATCTCTCTATTATCCTTTGAAGATTTGCACCAGTCACTTCAATTCAGGTATGCACATGCACAGTTATTATTGACTTGCTTAGCACAACTAGCTTTTCAAGTTGGAGGTCCAGTTATTAGGATTCTGTGAATTAATTATAGAAAACTGGCTTTGGTTTTGGTTGTCTAACAGAGCAAAAATCATCACACTGATTATCACACCGATATGGTTGTTTAAATTTAAAATCCAGGCTGCATATATGTCTTTTATCCTGCATGGTACCTGGGACAGTTCGGTTTTCAAGTGTTTATGTGGGATTGCCTGCTTCATGTGATATTCCAATAACCAGGCCAGTTTGGCTGATTAATGCAAGCTACATAGCAATATCTCAGGGCTCTTCCTCCGAAACAATCCTTGGTTGCAATATCATCCAGCAAGTGCAAAAATCCACTACCTTTGTCAAGGATCATTTGGCATGTTCATCGACATCAATCATTTGGCATGTTAAAAATGTAAATAGCACTGTTATGAATATTTAATGTATGTCCTGAGCCAGAGTATAAAGGTCAGCGTATGACCCACAGAATGTAAACATTATCTCGACCACCATATTTGTAAAATGTTAGGTACAATTTTATGTTGAATAAAGCCTATTAAACGGCATCTTTCGTAGTTTTCTCACAACAATTTATTCAACTTAAAATTGTACCTAACATTTTACAAATATGGCGGTCGAGATAATGTTTACATTCTGTGGGTCATAACCCACAGAATGTAAACATTATCTCGACCGCCATATTTGTAAAATGTTAGGTACAATTTTAAGTTGAATAAAGCCTATTAAACGGCATCTTTCGTAGTTTTCTCACAACAATTTATTCAGCTTAAACTATGGATAAAGTATTACGTCCTGAACGCTTAAAAACAGATCCTAACAGTAGCACGGCGGCAACTGAATGGCAGCATTGGAAACAAACATTTGAAAATTTCCTATCAGTTTTGCCAAGGGAAAGATTGGATAAATTCGGTGTGTTAACAAACTTTGTATCACCTACAGTCTTTCAGCACATCGAGGATAGTGAAGATTACACTGCAACTATCGCAATTTTGGAAGCCTTGTTTGTCAAACCAACTAATGAAATTTACGCTCGACATTTACTTGCCACAAGACGTCAAAGGACAAATGAGACACTTGACGAGTACTTACAAGTGCTGAAGACCCTTAGTAAAGACTGTAACTTTAAAAATGCTACAGCCCTTCAGTACCGCGACGAAAGTATTCGAGATGCATTTATAACAGGGCTTCTGTCTAATTCGATTCGTCAAAGATTGTTAGAAAATAAAACGCTGGATCTCAAGACAATGTTTGACCAAGCTCGATCCCTCGAGTCAGCTATGAAAAGTTCCGAATCTTATACGGACTCTCAAGCGAGTTTCAATGCTGCAGTTCCTTCGTCACCACCCGCTACACCTCCTTTGGACAATCAAGATCCAAGTTCTTTGGCAGCTTTGCCAACCGAAGGTGCATTTTGTTTCTTTTGTGGAAATAATAGACATCCTCGATCCAAATGTCCAGCTAGAGATGCCATTTGCATGAAGTGCCAAAAGAAGGGACATTTCGCGAAAGTCTGTCGGGGAAAAGCAGCTGTCAAGCCAGTCAGCTTAAATTCAGCAGCCGTTTGGTTCCCAACATTGGCTACAGTAACTCCTCCAGTGAACCCAGCATCTCTGTCAAAATCGTCAGCAATGGTATTTCTCAATGGGTTCAAAGTTAAAGCACTCTTCGATAGCGGAAGCAGCGAAAGTTTCATTCATCCTAGCCTGGTTGAGACAGCTTCCCTCTTTGTTCACCCATCCTCCGGGACAGTATCCTTGGCTACTTCCAACAATGTCACTAAAGTTGCTGGGTACTGTTTGACTAATCTTACCTATCAAGACCATACATATGAAAACCTTCGTCTAAGAGTGTTGCCAGGATTGTGCACAGACCTGATATTGGGTCTTGACTTCCAATCAAAGCATAAGAATGTCATCTTCAACTATGGTGGACCTGAGCCACCTTTGGTTGTGTGTG